GGACCCCCACAGTGGTGGGAAAAGGGATAAGAATGGGGCAATCACAGCCACACATGGAAAACTGGGAAGAGAATATAGGAGAGGCAGACACAGATGGGAAAGGCAGAAATTGGTCCATGTATCACAGAGGGAGAGCAGCAGGAGGAGCAGGACAGACACCTTCCTCTCATTTTAAAGGTGTGTCCCTTCCTTGGTGTCTAATCTTCATCACAGGGGGACTTGCCAACATTTTCTGGACCCCAATTTAACAGAGAGACCAATTGGCTCTCTATAACTGCTATTCTTAAAGGCACCTAAGGATGCCTTGGGATTTGGACACCTAAGACACTCAGGCTCCTTTGCAAATGTGCAGTAATACACTAATGGTAGGATTCACACTTCCCATCTGAGGGTAGTAGAAGCTATACCTCAGCCTAGGTACAGAAGCCAGATCCCTATGGAGTCAGTGACTAGTCTCCTATTGACTCAGTGGGACCAACCTTCCCTCCTAGCTGTAGCTGTGTCTATGTTGGCAGCTGAGGAAGGAGGTTTCTCCACACAGCAATAACACAACTTACCTCAGCCATTTCAATCTTGCCATCTGCATTTTTGTCATACTTCTGCATGAACTCCTTCATCTTTTCTCCAAAGTTGTCATTCTTAGAGTCCTGTGAACGAAGAGAAAGGTTTATCCTCTTGCACTTCCAGCAGGCCCTCTGTGCCCCATTCTCCCTCTATCTATGGGGTTTGGCTTAATGCTTCAGCTTTAAGTCATGAATTGATGACAGAGAAAAAGGCATCCCCATAACTCAGAAGGCAGCCTCTTTAACTTTAACATCCAGAGCAGAAGAGCAAAGAGAACAGCTGGCCTCAAAAACAACTGGGTTTATAGAATTACTATCACTCCAGAAGCACCTACAATCCCCTTTGTGCAAGAGGCTGGACATATGTGGTATGAGATATTCCCTGCTCTGAAGAAATTAGACAAAGATGGAGAACTGAGATACAGATATGTGGTAGGGCTGTGTGAAGCTTCGGGTGGCGATTCAATTTGGAGGAAATTCGGCCTGATTTGGTGGGAAAATTGCTGAATCCGAATTGAATCAGGGGACCAATTTAAAGGTCTGAATAGATTCAAAGCTCTCCAAATCTTCAGAAAATATTCAGAGAGCTTTGATGATTCGGGCAGTCCCTGGTGGCTGCAGCTGGGAGCTGCAGTCGAATCCCAGCTGGTAAGTGGTAGGGGTGAAGAAGGGGGGACTGGGGGAGGGGACCGTGGGGGGACCCCTGCCAGCCCCCCAA